ATGAATTTGTGGTTCATTTATTCACAACCATTTCTGATCATACTTTGTTTTTATTGCTAGTATAAATAATATCTCTACTATATTATATTCAGCTGCTATGCAAATCATGTATGATATAGATTTTTAGATAACATAGACCATTGCTAGCCACAAGGTTTTATTCTTGAGGCTGGCAAAACCATAATAAAAATCATTGTCTCCTAAAGAGTATGATTTTAAAAAATAATTTAAAGCCAAATTCACTATAGCTAAAATATAAGAACATTAATTTTCTACAAATTATCTACTTAAAAAAACCTCAAATTTATCAGGCTTCAATTGTTTATTGCCATAGGTCCCCAATATGCTGAGATAGAACCTCCTACAATTTCATATTGGGCATACTGCATCTCATTTTAAAATTTCATAAGCCAGATTTTAATGATTTTAAAATTAATGACCTTTAGATTTACATTCTCTGTTGTTTTTTGTTTTGCATATTCTGTCTCTATTGAGTTTGTTAGGGGCATTTTTTAAAAATATTGTTTTATTGATTTTTTAATTTTTTAGAGAGAGAGGAAGTGAGAGAGATTAGTAACATTTTCTCTACAGGCAATCATCAAAACAATAAATCATATCTTGATTTGCAGCATTTGGCAATTCATGGGTCAATATTCCCACCGTGGTTGATTGCAAGCTACCAACATAATTTCACTAAATGTGCAGCTGGGGAGAGATGTGCAGTAGTACACTATTATACAGTATTTCAGCCATATGGATACTATAGATGAATAATGTAGCAAAATAATTAGGGAGTTTTGAGTATCTATTAGCCTTTGTTTTTAATATGGTATTTTAATTGTAAGCTTCTATAATTTAATTTCAAATAATTACTGTGTTTAACAACCTGCTTACCGAATTTTCTGAAAATGTAATAATGGACTCTCACAAGCTGGTATGAACTGGCTCCAGCCCGCAAGTGAAATAAAATCTGAATGAGGAGGCTCTGCATATGCAATATTGAAGGCTAGTTTATAAGATGGACTTGGCCTATGAGATAAGTTGCAGACATGTTACCTTTAATTAATGTAGCTTTTATAAAAGTAAGCAGTGGAAAATGCAAGTTTGAAAGATATTAGGCATGTTATTAAGTGACTTGAAATTATTTAATGAGTTACTACTCTATTTAAGATAGGGTAATGTGCCCTGGTAATATATAAAGGTAAATACAGATATAATTTCTACCTTTGGGGAATGAACACTCTAGTTGCTGGATTAGACCTGCAAACAGCCCAAATGTTGTAAGGAATGTATTATGATAAATATAGGTATGTTCTGAGAGCTATGGGAGCAGATGACAGAGTGACTGACGGACATCACATCTGTGGTACTTTCCCAATAATTTATAGCCTCAATCTAATCATACGGAAATATCAAGCAAACCTATATGGAAGAACCTTCTATAAAATAACTGACCAGTCTTATTTACAAGTTCTTGAGTCACTTTCATTTCATTAAAAAGCTGTTAAGCCCAGTCGCTGTGGTTCAGGGGTTGAGCATCAACCTATGAACCAGGGGGTCATGGTTCGATTCCAGGTCAGGGCACATGCCCAGGTTGCTGGCTTGATCCCTAGTGGGGTGTGTGTAGGAGGCAGCAGATCAATGATTCTCTCTCATCATTGATGTTTTTGTCTCTCTTTCCCTCTTCCTTCCTCTCTAAAATGATTTTTTTAAATAAATAATAAAAAGCTGTTACAAGAACACATTGTATAAATTTGACAAAGGTTGAAAATACCTGAAAACATACTATTTAAAAAATATTTTTCATTAAATCAATACAGTGATTAAAATGTTACCTTCTAGCTTGTCCAAAATAAGAGTGTACAGATAGTTTTATAACATGTCTATCACTTCTCTTGACAGGAGACTCAGCTAATCTAACCTGCAGAGCTTTCTTTGGATACAGTGGAGATGTCAGTCCTTTAATTTATTGGATGAAAGGAGAAAAGTTTATTGAAGATCTGGATGAAAATCGAGTTTGGGAAAGTGACATTAGGTAAAATAATTTTTTTCTTTTACCTTATAGTCAAGATTAACATTTACTCTGTTAGTGTCGAGAAAGTAAGCTAAAAAGGAAAGAAGTTTTGTTTTGTTTTGTTTTGTTTTACTATTATAATGACAACATTATAATATTTACTGGCAAAGAGGCAAAACACTGTTAAGAGACTATGGAATTGTAAAACATGAATGCCATTTGTAAAGAATTTAAGAGAAATAAAAAGGAGTTTTTCATTGAGGAGTGAACTGAATGTGAAACAGACCAAAATACAGTTGAATATAGAAAATGTGATATTGTGCCTTTTGTTTGTAAGAGCTCTTTTTTTTAATTGTTAAAAGGAAATACTAACAAGATAAAAGGACTCAACCAAACACAATTTCTGTCATTTCCTTTTATATGTTTTCATATTTGAGGCATCAAGTAGACTATAAAGCACTTGGTAGGAATGATAAAGGATACATAAAATGTTTTAATTACCTTTTTAGTCTTACTTTAAGGTCTAAATATGAATATAGTGGGAATGATAGAGAAGAGAATAAACACTCAAAATACCATCTATTTGAGAACATAATTCTTAAGCCTCTTTAAAAAACAATTTATTTGTTCATTTACCTTTAAGTATTGAGGTATTCAGTTATGACTAAAATTATGCTTGGGCATAGATACTCATTTTTTTTATTGATCTTAGAGAAAGGAGGAGGAGAGAGAGGGAGAGAAACATCAATGTGAGAGAGAAACCTCAGTTGCCTCTGGCACACGCCTCGACCCAGGATCAAACTTGCAACCTGGGTATGTGACCAGGCCTGGAATCAAACCTGACACCTCTTGGTGTATGGGACAAAGCTCCAACCAACTGAGCCATACAGGTCAGGACCCATAGATACTGATTTTTAATCATAATGAACAGAAGCAAGGATAGTAATAATAATTAAGTTATGACTAAATCCAAATGCTGATCATTTGTAAACACTCTCCCATCTAAAGGTCACAACTTCTGGGAGTACATGAGCATTTTATCAAAGATTCCTCTTCTTGAAAGAGGACACTTTTAATAACAAGGACTTTTAAACTTGATCAAAGGTATAAAGGAAAAAGTTTTTCAATAAAATATAAAAACACATAAAACCATCATATAAGGTTATTTCTACTAGGATTTTTTTCCTGGCAACAACTACACAAGAATCTTATACTCCAACTGCGTTCTGAAATGCCCAGATGGGCAATCCTCCAATATGTACTAAAGTGTTCCTCTGCCATTTATCATTTACTCATACACTTTGAAATGCTAACGTTAAAGAACAACAAATCTCCTAATGTTCCCCCTTTCCCTTTTTGTGGGTGGCCAGGGAATGTTCTAGAAAGGTATTATTCTTAAATTCTGCATTGGAAAGTGTTGTGCAGAGATGAGTTACCAGACAGATGGGAAGGTAGAGGAGGTTGAAACTTTCTGAGCAGGGAAAGGGAGCTTCAACTCTGAAATTTTCCATTTGCTCAGAAAGATTGCTAAAATCTTTGACAGTGAGATTAGTGAACATTTACCATTAATTTTAAATGTCACAATTAAGCACTTCATCAGAATACTTTGTCTACATGTTTATAATTTCATACTTCTTTAAAAACAGACAATTGATTTGTATCATTTTAAAAAAGGCCAGGTTGGAAGTTTTAACTGAAATGTCAAAATAACTCAAAATTTTTCTATTCTTCCTTTTTTTGATTAACCTGTATACAATTAGTCCTCTAGCCTAAGACATTAGAATATCTATCTCACCTTTACATCAGATTTCTTCTTAAAGGGAAAGCAATTCCTAAACTTTTCTTCAAGGTCTCTCTCACCTCTTTATTATGACAGTGCAATTGTCCTGTTAAGAGAGATAATGAACTGCAACTTCATTAACATCTACAAAGACAAACATACTCATTAGAAATGAGAAGGGCACGATATAATTTTATTAAGATAGCATAAATCCATAGCCAAATTTGAAGTAAAGATGCTGTAGGTATTTTCACATCAGATTTAGATTCATCTATATTTTTTTTTGTCGTGTATGTGTATGTTTGTGTGGGGTTTTTTGTTTCGTTTTGCTTTATATTTTAGAATTCTCAAGGAGCATCTTGGGGAACAGGAAGTTTCCATCTCATTAATTGTGGATTCTGTACAAGAAGGTGACTTGGGAAATTACTCTTGTTATGTTGAAAATGGAAATGGACGTCGGCATGCCAGCATTCTCCTTCACAAACGGGGTGAGTATCACCTTCTAAGCTTGAGTGGTCAACTGAACCTATAATGAGAGGGAAATAAGTGGGGAACCAGAAAAAAATTGTTTTTCTACATAAATTTATTCTAAATAAAATAATCACATTAGCATTTGGTCTATCAAAGCAGATAACACAGTAGATGGGTGACTAGCTCAGACTCTAGAGTCAAATTTGGATTTATTGCTTTGCTTTACTACCAACTGTGTAACCTTGGGCATGGTATCTAACTTCCCTGTGCTTCAGTTTGCTGATATGTGTCAACTCTTCAGTGTGTTTTAAGGATGAAAGAAGACAAGAATTAAAGAGTTAGGCATAAAGCATATACAGAGGAAGTATTTAGTTAAATATAACTTATTAGTGTCAGAAAGAAGCAAATCAATGAAAAATAACTGAAGTAGTTTTAAATCCAAGATTGTGTTCCCTAATAGAGGATTATTCCTTTAGTGTAAAAAGATGTCCTATGGATTCCCTATTGTATTACTTATTGATATTTTTCTGCTTTCGATGACTTTTACATGTGCAATATCATCCCATGATTAATAATGATTCATTCGTTGTGCATTAATGAATTATTATTCAACTATAATTTATTAACAATGATCAAGTAAGATAGGCTGTGGATGATTGCAGCATCTGCCTCACTAAATCTGATCCCACAACAGCCCTAATACCTTATTCACAAGGTTAAAATATATATAAATATATATTGAATTGTTTGAAATTAGTAATAATTATAAAATTTGATCTATGCCTTTTAATTGGTGAAATTTTTCATATACAAGAGAGAAATATTTTTCCATAGTATGCTAAGTGAAAACTCTTTAATTTTTGCAACAATTACACTTGATGTTCTCTTACTCAGCAAATTTACAATGATTTTAAATTCAAAGTATATGTTTAATCCTAGACCCTTTGAGGTTTGAGAAGAAAAGGAACATTAAAGACTATATCCCCCAGTTTATTGGGCAATAGAATCCCTTTGAATAATGTTACTTAAAACTATTAAAACAGACACCTCTGTTGTCAAGGTGACCACAGTATTAAAATACTCTACTTTGGGAGAATGTAAGGGAAAGGTAAACAGCATTTAGCAATATGATTGTTTCTTTCTCTATCCAACATATGTATTTAGTCAATGGAGGAATTTAGAGTAGAAATATATTATATATGTAAAAGAATAGAAATTGCTTGTCAGGGTTGGAAAGAACTTAAATGTTATGTAATTGAACTACTCCACAACATCTTCCCAAGTTATCTAATAGCTTATACTGGATCATATTCTTTCTCAAGTAAGTCAATTCTGTCTTTGGAAAACCTTATTATTAGATAAGCATCCCTATTTCACTGTCTGCCCCTTGTCCGCAGTTCTAGACTTTTAATCTATCTTTCCCAAAACAGCCCTTTAAAAAGTTTGATGACAGTCACCATGATCATACTGGATCTTTACTTCCCTAGATTCAACTTCTATAGTCTTATTCACTCTTCCTTTGTGTGCATAAAATACTTTCACCATCCTGGCCATTCTCTTCAATATGCTCTAATCAAAGAGTCTAAAATTATTCCCCAATAAGGGAAGTAGTAGAGAGAATATGTAGGGCACAAATAAAAATCTGTTTACTTAGACTACATATATTTCATTTTGGGACAAGGCAGGAGTGACAGTTAAGTGTTATAATTAAGGGGAGAAGAAGAAAAATGAAATGTATCTAAGGAGGATACAACTATTAAAGTTCTGTTCTTATAAACAGGCACACAGCCAAGAAGGGTTAAACACCCAAGGCTATTTTTAACATGTGTGACCTAAGGTCAAGTTGCCCATAGCTAGAAAAACTTCCAGTACCACAAAAATAAATTGTTGAAGAATCAAGGAAACTGAAAAAAACTTACACAATAATGTCTGACTAGCTAAACATAAAGAGGAAAATTGTGGCCAATGTTAGAGCACTTTTCAATAGTTTTATCTTCCACTATGGTTTATATCTTCCACAAATTTATATTAAATTTCTATTTATACCAACAGCATTTTATTCTTAGTAAGATAAAAGCATTAAGAAACCAAAAAGAATCTTCCAAGGTCACATATTCTAAAAGTCCCTCTTAAAGTTAGTGAGTGCCTTCTTTTAAAAAAAAAATATTGTATTGATTTCAGAGAGAAAGCGAGAGAGAGAAAAAAAAAAGAGATAGAAACATGAGTGATGAGAGAGAATCATCAATGAGCTGACTCCTGCACACCCCCTACTGGGGATCAAGCCCACAACCGGGCACTGAGCCACACTGGCCCTCACTGTGCCTTCATTCTAAGGGAACTACAACAACTGAGTCATCAATTCACAAAGGCAACAACACATCCAATGTCCTGCCCTTGAGAGATTTATACTTGTGTGGAATTATCAGAGAAATGCATGGATGGCCTTCCACTATTGCTGGTGGGAGTGGAGTTCATGGTGTACCACTGAGATAAGCATTTCCGGAGGCCCCCATGGGAGGATGGGATGTGGTAGAAAGCTTTATTTTTATAGAGTTACATCCCTCAGATGGCAAAGTCGCATTTTCCTTAATCCAGTCCTGGAAGATGTGCAGCTGGGGATTAAGCAGAGGTAGAAGCAAGGCCAGTGTCCAGAGTGTCCGTTCCATGGTAGAGCTGGGTCTGGTTTAGCATCAGGCTAGTTACAGTCCCTCAGTCCATTGTATGTGGGATCCACATGGCCATGGGCCATATGGAAGAATTTAGGGGAGCCAGGAGGGCACACCCCTTGCAACAAGAGTTACAAGGGTCCCAAGAGAGCAAGAGAGAGAACTCCTTTGTTTAGGCGCTTAAGTATCTGAAATCTTCCCACTTGCATTGGCCAAGCCTACTCTGGCCAATGACCTGATCCAAGGTGTGACTGACAGATAAGTACCTTCCCTATTTCACCCAGACTTTTCTGGGCATGCGTCTAAAGTGCAGCTTCCTGGCGAAGCTGCACAGATGTCATGTCTATAAAATTTGGCCTTCCCTTTGCTCCTTTCGTCTTATTCATAACCAGGTTTATTGCAACAGTATCAGAATGATCTATCCCAACTATTTGTGGAAAAAAGAGATGATGTTGGTTAACATATGGCATAACTGCAAGTTCACCAGCTCTGCAAGTTTCAAAAGGTTAGGGCACACACAGAGCATGTAAGCTAATAGTTTGGGGTTTTGATCACAGTGTCCCTGAAAGAGTCAAATTGCTGTCTTGCTAGCAATTAGGTAAATTATCAGATGAGTTGCTATATTACTCACAAGACTAAAGCTGAGAGAAGGAACTGGAAGCTGTCACTATTAATCATATTTTACTACCATTGATTCATAAATCCCTTAACTTATCATACAGGCCTTCAAAGTCTTTCTATTTAAAACCTCCCTAGAGAGGTATGTTAAAGCATTTGAAGAACACAGATTTTTTTCAAGCCACAAATTATCAGTTCTGACAGGTGAACTTGCCAGGGCACACCTTTGCCAAAGTTACCTAGGCATTTTTTCCTCCACTGTTACTTTTTCTTCAATATTGTTGATCTAATAAAAGTGACATTAGAGCCTTCCAGTGGGTGGTATGGATTCTTGGAGATTTTATTCACACGTATGAAATGAGTCTTCCTAAATGCCAAGAGGATACCGCAATAAATAATTCAGCTAGACCTGAGCTGGGCTAGATTCTGGACCAGCCTTTTATCTAGAAAAAAAATAGAAAAAGCTTAGTTCCACAAAAACTGGCCGAAATTTTACAGAGAATTGGACCATAGAAAACCTTGCTTGAGAATATTCAAAGTTGTTTATTTCTGCAGACAGGAAAGGCATTTAGACAGTTAGGATTATGTCAGACATTCAATATAGACATATTTCACATACTATACAGAGAACTAGATACAGTGAAAGAGAGACAAAAAATGAAGAGTCAAGGGCCATTGGGCTATATTAGTCTTTGATTGTCCTGCCCCTTATTCCTCACTCCAGTCCCTGGCCTGACAAGCTTGAGAATTAGACCCTTGCTTTACAAAGAACCAAAGCACAGTTGATACATTCACGACTTTGTCCCACTATTGTTCATACATGACTGAGTTCCATATATGAGTCTCTGAATATTTTCCCCAGATGCGCTTGCTTCAGTTTCTAATTGCGGGGCCTGACTTGACTTGCATCAAACACTGACCTTCAGTTTCCCTCCTAAACCCTGAACTTTCCAATTCCCTCCATTTTTACAATTTCCATTTCCCCGACACAAGCAATTCTCCAGATGGAAACTGTTGGGGTTCAGAGTAGGCCAACCCAAAATATTCCATAATGACATATTGATTACTTTGAATTAAAGTCACTTAAGAAACTTCCAATGCAAGAACACTCTGGCCTCTCTCTCTTTCTCTGCCCCCTCTTAAAGCAGGAGATGAATCTCCCATCTGAATAGTACCCACCCTGCATCTGAAGGCTAAGAAAGACACCCTTATCACTAGAGTTAAGGAATCCAGAACAAAAAGCTCACATATACAAACCTTGTTGCCTCTTTATTAATTTACTACCCAAGCTCAAACCTTGCTTAGATTTCTGACTAATGAACACTAACATTTTTTTTGTCCTGTCAATTCCTCAGAAGTTTATTATCTTAGTCTAAAAAATATAAAAAGGTGCCCACTTCAGTCATTTCTGTCAGCATTATTATGTTATCTTGAGCATCATTTATGATTTCCCATGCACACATATTAAATTTTCTCCTCTTAATCTGGTCTTGTGTCAATTTTATTATTAATCTATCCATAAGAACTCAAGGGGGCAGAGGGGAAATTTCACCCTTCCTGACAATACCCAGTAGGACTGGCTCTGGCCTCAGGCCTGGCTGCTCTTGCACCCATCAGCCAGTCATAAATTTCTTCTGCGTTCTCTGTGGTTTTGGTTCATACTCTAATTGTGGCTGACCTCAAAGTGTGGACATCATTATTATTGGGAGCAAAGCAGTTTAATGGTTTAAGAG